TTCAAGGGGAATGTTCGATTTTCAGCTTCTGTTATATATTTTATGTATTATTGAGTCTTATAAATAAAGTTCCAGAAAATACATTCTTCCTAGTTACTCTATTGGGATCGGTAGGATTAAAATAGTTATTCACTGTATTTACAATCTGCACTCCATCCATATTGATTCGTTATTTTCATGTTGTTAACAAACAGTAAATATCCTTTAACCCCTTCATGACCGAGGCCTTTTGGTCTTTTTTAATTTTTTTGTGTACATTCCACATTTTAGGCCTGAAAATTACTTAAAACCCCCAATATATATTTTCTGAAATCCAAGACCCTGTAGAATAAAATGGCGGAGGTGCAAAATTTTACATTGCACGATATTACCGCAACTCCTTATCAAACCCCAACATTTTGTGAAAAATGCACTTAAATACCCCAATACACAATAAAATACCCATTTTTTAAAAATAAAATATAAAAGACGAGGTTACAACGAGTACATAGATACCCAACATGCCCGGGTTATAAATTGTGTGCGTTCGTGAAACGACGACAGAATTCAGTACCCCAAAAAGTCCATAGGCGACGCTTTAAAAGCCCCCCACCGGTGATCAGTGTAGAGATACGTGTAAATATTGGCCCTGGAATTATTGCTCTCACTCCGGCGTACGCGGCAAAACATAACATGTGTAGTGCGTTTGTCGTTTTCATATGTAGGCGCACACGACGCATGTTTACGTGAAGATGTGCGTGCTCGCAGGGGGTGGGGGACTTTAAAAAAACATTTTTTTCATTATTTTTACTTTTAATTTATTTAATATTAATTTTAAACACAGTTTTTTTTTTTTTTTTACTTTAGCTTTATTGCTGTCACATAGGGGGGGCTTACAAGCCCCCCATGTGATAGCAGATGACTGGTGAGATGTCCTCTTTAAGTTGATGCTGGGGGACCAAAAGACCCCCTAGTGTCACCTTTACACTATAAATAAGCTATTGGGGTGCAGATCACACTTCAATAGCTTATAGCTGGGCTTCAGGAGCCGACCAATGACAGCCCCGGGCCGGAAGTGATGCAATCTGCGTCGCTCCCGGTCCCATAGTACGGGAAGGAGATCGGTGAATGGAGGTTTGCCTAACACCTCCCCAGCTTCCCCCGACACCAGCAAAGCCAGTCCCGAGCCCGTAGGAGGGGCAGCAAAGCCCGGAAAACACAGGGGGTGTCAGGCGGGTGGGGGGCATTCACCGGCCCGTAGAAGCGATCTGGCAGCAGCTGAGCCGCCCGAATTGCTTCTACTCTAAAGCCAACAGTCGGCTCTACGAACGTAAACAGAGTCCCGGTGGGAGCCTGTTTCAACGGACTGATACTGGTGATGAAGGGGTTAAACCAAGCCCTCATTTACCTCTGTAGCTGCAGGTACTGTGGAGAAACTCAACCTTAAATTGTACAACAGAAGCAGTAAAGCTGTTGAAGCCAGTTCTCGGCTCTCTGCACTCTCCCCTCTTCCCGTGTGGCCTGTTCTGGGCGTACGTTACTGATTAAAAATCCCTGTTTCTAAGGGGAGGAGCGAAAATAACTACTACAAGAGATAATGAGAGCATTCTGCTGTACGTTTTGAGGATGAATGATTCCACAGTGCCTGCAGCTGCAGAAGTTAGTGAGGGCCGGTTTTAAAGCTTCAAGGTAAATATTTGAATGCCAAAGCCTTTCCACAACTGCTGAACCTGTCTCCTATCTCCTCAGGCCTTTCCTGGTCCACTGCTTAAATAGTCCCTCCCGCCGCGTCCAACCTGACCCCCCAAGTTCCCCTCCACTCTCTCACCATCGGCGATGAAATGTTCCGGCACGTGTAGTGTGATCTTCACGGTGAGAGAGCAGGGTATCTGCGAGCCGCACACCACGGCCAGGACGCAGGCGCTCACCCCGACCAGTGTCAGGGCCGTGCGGCTCAGCGGGCTCTTCAGGGCACCTGGAAATAAGAAGAGAAGAGAATCAGATATTGGTCAGTCATGCCAGAGAACAGGTGCAATGAATACAGCAAGGAGGGGGAAAAAAAATCAGAAGAGAGTTTAAACATAGAATTCCGAAAATCTGTAGAAGAGGGCTTGTGATTAAAAAGTTCCCCGGTGAGAAGACTCAACGTGACTTCCACCGCGGTGCTACCGAAATAGCTCCGCTGACCTCAAAAGAGAAGAGAGAGGTCAGCATGAGCTTTATAATATAGTCACCTCCGATGAGGAGCATCTGGGTCTGCTCTGACCTATCACAGGCAATGATGTCCAGTAGAAACATGGCAGATCCTCCACGGTATGCAATATTATCCTCGCTCCGGTGGAACAATGGTCAGCAGTATCATGGAAAGAAAACCCTCAAACAGTGTGAACTCCATAAAATCTATAAGAATCACCGCAATTCATATCACGCCTCTGCCCCTGGGGGTCATGCCTGTGACTGTCAGAGCCTTGCAATGCCTCATGGGACTTGTAGTTCCTATACAGCTGGAGTGCCGATGTTGCCTACTCCTGCCCTGTGACTGTCAGAGTCTTGCAGTGCCTCATGGGACTTGTAGTTCCTGTACAGCTTTGGGTAGAGAGTTCCATAGGATGGGAGAGACTCTAGTGAAGTCCTGGAGGCGAGCATGGGAGGAGTTGACGAGGGAGCTGGAAAGCAGGAGATCTTTTGAAGAGCGGACGGGACGGTTAGGGTGATACTTTGGGACCAGGTTTGAGATATAGCCGGGGGGAGAGTCAGGGCCGGATTTACTCTCCCTGCTGCTCCAAGGCCAGGCTCCTCAATGCACCCCCCCTCTATGCAGGCGGCATACAAGTGATCTCTGCGACATCACCGAGATCACTTGTACAAAACAAGCATTCCCCGCTGTACATTTAGCTCTGCTTGCCCAAAGCCGGGCTAAATGTAGAAAACAACTACCCGCCCGGCACCCGGAACTCCATGTCCCAGGCGTCGGGAGATAGGATTTCCACACCCCTGCTGCCCCTCTACTCCCTGCTGCCCCAAGCCTGGGCCTCAGTTGGCCTTGTGGGAAATCCGGCCTTGGGCAGAGTTGTGAATGGCTTTGTAAGTGGTTGTTAATATTTTGAATTGTATCCTTTGGGCGATTGAAACGGTAAAAGCTTTGCTCTTGGATACATTTTAAAAGAAAAAGTGAGGCCAACTGGTCCAAAAATGTCAAGTTCCGACTCTTTATTCCTTTTATTATCAGCACAAGATCGGCCACACGCCGTAGAACTAGCAAAACAAATGGCAAACGCACTCATCAATTTGTAACCAGCTCTAAGCAAGGTGCACATGGATGTGCTCCAAGATGGAGACTCTCATAGTTTAGAGTTAGGACTGCACTACACAGAGGGGCCTTGGCGCGGCTGTGCAGCTTTCACATTTTCAGCAGAAAACGTGTATCTAAAACCTCTGTTTTTAACCTTAGCGGTGAGACAAGTTTTTTTGCATGCTGGCTGGTGAGTGTGCTGGGAAACTTTTTGCTGTTGTACTGTATAAAGCCCTTCCGTGTGCACCTTGCTGTAGTGCTGGTGACGAATTGATGAGTGCGTTTGCCATTTGTTTTGCTTGACTGATTTGGTGCAGTGACGCATGGGGGGGTCTCAGCTGTTGTTGTGATGTGCGGGGTCCCTTGTGCATCCCTGTGCCTTTAACTACCTCCCGGCCAGCCGCTGTGTATACACGGCCTGCCGGGAGCTTCTTGGATGTAACTGGGCGTGTATACATACGCGCGCGAGCGGGAAATCCCCGCTATTTGAAAAGATGCAGCGATGCCCGTTAATATACAAGCGATCCGCCGGCTATAGAGCCGGCGGATCGCTTGTATGAATCGATCTGTCCCCAAAAAATGGTATAAAATTCATTTCAGTACAGCGTTGCGTGACGGAATAAATGTCAGTCAAAGTACTGCAGCGCTGAACACTGAAAAATGGCCTGGCCAGGTAGGGGATCTAAACACCTGGTCTTCAAGCAGTTAAAGAGGTTGGGCTTCTTCCTGACAAACCTGCACCAAATTCTATCTTTTGCTACATGTGCTCCAAGATGGAGACTCTCATAGTTTAGAGTTGGGACCGCACTATATAGAGGTGCCTTGGCGCGGCTGTGCGGCTTTCACATTTTCTGCAGAAGACGTGTATCCAAAACCTCTGTTTTTAACCTTAGCGGTGAGACAAGTTTTTTGGCATGCTGGCTGGTGAGTGTGCCGGGAAAACTTTTTGCTGTAGTCTTGTAGAACTGACCCAAATGAATGTAATAAAACAAGATACAACGTCTTATCAATAACCGAGCTTTAATTCATTTGGCACATTGGGATTAATAACATCTGGGCAAAGTTCTTTATCCAAATTCATTCAATTATCTGACGTGGACGAATGAAAAAAAAAATATGTTCCTGTAAATTCAGGTTTTGTGAAACCGCTTGTTGTTTTTTATTTCTCTTTACAAATACCACCAAAACCTCTTTAATGTTGCGTCCAAGCCAGTTTATTTTTGGTCTCCGGGATTACTTATAAAGTTAGCTTTTGCTACTGTAGCTAATCTTTCCGGCCTATAATCCTGCTGTCTGGTTTTAGTTTTGATGGTATCAATCCGCTATAACGGTTATCTCCTTACATATGCTTTAAAAACATCCCAAATCTCTAGTTTTGTGTCATTCACTTTGAAAAAAAAAAAAAATAATCCCCTTAATCCCATTTTCTTTGGGTAGTTTAGTAAGTCGAAAGGGATACTATAGCATCCAATGGCATCTCTGCTGACCATGAAGCCACTCCGCATTCACTATTGTTAACACTTTCTCAACTAGAGTGCCTTGGTTCCTTGAGGTGCCTTCTGGCTTTCTCAGGGCTGCTCTGACTGATGAGGGAACATGAAGCCAGCTTTCTGGCCAATCAGAAGGTCGGGGGAGGGTATTGACTCGTCGTCCGGCTTCCTGATTGGCCAGCTTCCCGACCAGTCAGGAAGCTAGGCAGATAGCCTGCACTGGCCACCTGAGAATGACTCGCTGCCCGGCTTCCTGATGCTGGAAGCTCGGGTATCGGGCTAGGCATCGGAGCATTTGCCGCGAGTACTCGTCCAAATACTCGGCGTTGGCACCGATACCGATACTAGTATCGGTATCGATGCATCCCTACTGCAAACTATAGAGGACTGCAAATCCCAGTAATACATTATACAGCAATGCAGAATACTGCCAACTATAGAGGACTACAAATCCCAGCAATAAATTACACAGCAATGCAGAATACCACCAGCTCTAGAGGACTACAAATCCCTGCAATACATTATAGAGCAATGCAGAATACCACCAGCTACAGAGGAGTACCAATCCCAGTAATACATTACACAGCAATGCAGAATACCACCAGCTCTAGAGGACTACAACTCCCTGCAATACATTATAGAGCAAGGCAGAATACCACCAGCTCTAGAGGACTACAACTCCCTGCAATACATTATAGAGCAAGGCAGAATACCACCAGCTCTAGAGGACTACAACTCCCTGCAATACATTATAGAGCAAGGCAGAATACCACCAGCTCTAGAGGACTACAACTCCCTGCAATACATTATAGAGCAAGGCAGAATACCACCAGCTCTAGAGGACTACAAATCCCAGCAATACATTATACAGCCATGCAGAATACCACCAACTGTAGAGGACTACGAATCCAAGCAATCCACTGTTAAGCACTGCAGGATAATACCATAAGCTATAGAGGACTACAAATCCCAGCAATACTTTATACAGCAATGCAGAATACTAAGAAGCTACATACTCTGTGTAGCTCCAGTTCACAGCCTGATGTCTCCAGGGTCTCAGGAGGGCTGTGCATGGTATCAGGGGGAGCTGTAGAGGCTCTCCGGAGGCTGTTCAGGCTCTTAGGTGGCCAGTGTGGGCACTAAGGGGGCCAGTGAAGGCTCTCTGGTGGTCAGTGTGGGCTCCCTGGTGGTCAGTGCCGCTCTCAGGTGGCCAGCACGGGATTTCTGGAGGTCAGTGGGGCTCTTAGGTGTTCAGTACGGGCTGTTGGTGGTCATTGCGGGCTCCAGGTAGTCAGTGCAAGTCCTGGGCAGTCAGTCCGGGCTCCGGGCGGTCTGTGCGGGCTCTGGGCAGTCAGCAGGGGCTGTGGGTGGTCAGTGGGGGCTCCGTGCAGTCAGTAGAGGCTCTGTGCGGTCAGTAGGGGCTCTGTGCGGGTTTACCAGAATGACATGCTGCAGCTCTCCATTCTAGCGGTGGCTGGCTGCAATCAGGCAGCAGCGGCCCTCTATTCAGGCATATTAGAGGGCCACTCTCTTCTCACTGGGGCCCACAAGAGGCCCCAGCGAGCTTCCCACTAATAAGCCTGAATAGAGGGCTGCCGCTGCCTGTTTGCAGGTAACTGCCTGTGGTCCTCTATTCCGGCATATTAGAGGACAGCTCTATGGAGCCTCTCGGGGGCCCTAGTGAGGAGCCAGCGGCCCTCTAATACACATCAATAGAGGGCCGCCACTGCCTCACCGAACCGGATACCGAGGCGATCCAGGTCAGCCGGGCCTATTTGCAGGGGCTGGCCTGGAGCGGCCCATTATTCCAGGCCCAGTGAGAAAGGCTGATCCAGACAAACTGTGAAAGTGCCTTTATGTACAATGACCGGAAAAAAACAAAGCTATGGTTTAGAAACCCATAAAAAGTGAAACGTACAGAAAAGGTAAATGCCAGAATCTCAGAATGAATGCAAGGGCACCACAGAAGCAGAAATTGCCATGTGTGGGGCTACTGAATAATAATAGCAAAATAAAACAGTCACATTATTTCAGACCCCATCATCATCATCATCAGTTGTACCCAGTACAAAAACTGGCAAATACAACCTGTACCGCGAAAAGAAGAATGTTGCTGTAATTTGTGAATTTCTATACAAGTCAAATAAATGCCTCCACTGGATTTGAAGCAAAGTTTTTTGTGATGCTGTTTTT